ATTTTGATTTGGTAAAGATTTTGCTTTTTTTAATCATTATTTCTTTAAAAATTTTCATAGCACATGAGGTAATAAAAATACAATGTATTCCTCTATTATTCATTTGGATTAGAATGGTCGTAATTTTTTTTTTCACCATTCCACATCATGAGAGTTTCTAACTGACAGTGTAAAAAGTTTATTGTCGCATAAATCGTCTGATAAATTCTGCAAAACTAACGTAAAACGCTTAGACAAATATGCATTAAGCTCCTTATATTACCCATATTTTTTTTTTCATTATGATAGGGTAATGTTTCCGTTTAGTACTCAGCCAATACAGAACTTTCAGGTCAGTTGGAATTGATGGACTGCTCTATCTTGGTGATTTTAGGAGATAAAATTATTTACCTCAAGGCGAAGGTTTAATTAAAAATTAAAATAGCTGTTTAAACTAACTTATTCATATAACTGCCAGTATTAATACCAATTTAAAACGTGCTTTCTAATACACTTTAATATTGGTTTTCTTCCATCGCTTTATCATGCTTATATCTCCTATTCAACCTAATTATTTTTCTTACACCAGGAAAAATGCGTTAATTATAACAGGTCCAAACGGAAACGAATACTCTACTGATAATATGGAAAGGTTAACAAAATGTGTTTCTGTGATTGCAGTTTGAGGAAATAAGACCACAGTCTCTTAAGCATACCAAATTATTTACCTCAAGAATTAACCGTGAAGGGAATCGATATTGACTGTGACGAAAATCATGTCAGGGTGACAGGTAGCACTGAACAATAAATTCGGCCGTGGCCCAATATTCAGATCAAATCGTTTGTTTGCTTAAAATTCCACCTGTTCTTTTCCACTTGAGCAATGCCTCAACGACTCGAGTGCAACACTGCCGTGTTATTAAAAAGAATGGTTTACTTTTGTCATGTTTTGCCGCGGTTGTGTTTCCTTTCTTTTGCAGTTATTTGGAATGTTCGGAATACAGCTCAAGGTAAGTCAGTTTTAGTGACAGACGATATGAAAGAAGAGGAAAATGACCAATACTGGGAAATGTATTTGCTTTCTATTTCGTGCCTTGAAAGACATTTTGAATACGTTTTAGTTCTCTGTCAACCGAGTCTAAGCCAGGAGCAGGAAAAAATTAGCTTTTTTTGTTCAACTTAACATTCATTTTGCATGAATTTAGTTTATTCAAAAAAGATCCATTTGGCAATGTATCTTCTTTGCGAATGCCATTTTTTTTTTCGTTCAAGAGGTGAGGAAGACCGAACGCTTCTAAATTTAAAGAAGTTTAAAATTATTCAGTAGTTAGACCCACTTCGGGCAGTGGGTATCGCAATTGATATTGTTCACGGATTTGAAAGTGAAATAAACTGAATACTTGGCCGGGAAGCAAAGCTTCAAGAGAAATGGTGAAATTTGGAGGGCAATCTCTCAGCCGAAGAAAATAACAGCCGACCTACTGGCAAGGAAAAAAGGGGTTTATTTATTTAATAAAATTAATCCTCATATCGCGCAAAAACCGCTAGTTAAAAAGCCAGTGTTGCTTATTGGCGACCAGCTTTTTAATAACGTTATCATTAGACTCTACAGATCAAATTGGTTTTTTTTTCCATATAAAATAGTAGAAATGTAATGATATTTTTTTCCTCCTTGCTTTGTTTCGACGCAAATAATCGTAGGGCAAATGTCGACCTACGCGGGGTCATTCGTGACGTAAGGTGGCCAACGAAATCACGAGGAAATTAATGGTGGATTAAAAATGTGTCAAAATCGTGAAATATTGGAAAAAAAAAAAAAAAAAAAAACTCTCCAAGAGCCTCGAAACTTAAAAATCTAAAAATGATTTTGACAGTCTTAGTTAGAAGAGCATCTAGACTGTTTTAGTCCTGGCAATTTAAATATTGCCTGCTGTGAGCTTCTTCGCTCTTTCTTCTTCCTCTTTGATACTCAGAACACTGGATTCCGTGTCGAGTGGTCTGGGTTCTAGACCTTGTCTTGTGTTCGTTGGTAAGGCGCGTTACTTTCACAGTGTGTCTCTCCCCCTGAGAGTATAAATGGTTACTGGCAAATTTCCAGGGAAGATTGATGAGATTCTGGGGGTTACCTTGTGATGAACTAGCGTCTCATCCAGGGGAGGGAAAGGCTGTCTGGGCCACTAGGCTCAGAAAAAGACTATTTATTTTTTTCACCTTACTTTTTCGAAGTCCCTTTGCTAAAATATAATCTGCCTCTTAAGATTATATCACTGGGTGTGTATTATTTGGACTAAGGGGTCCTTTTTTGTTTTTTTCTTTGAAACAGGAAAATATTGTTATTCTTATGAATCGCTTAACATCGCAGAGCTAAAGCGAGGTAACTGCCAGCAAATCAAGAACGCCACTTCTCAACATTGGTTAAAAGCTGACTGTAAAATAAGAAGTTCTGGGGGATACCGGAAACGTGACTTTGCTCAATGTTTACAGTTGTGGTGTGATTACTTTTCAATATGCCTTCATCAAACAACCGAATGGAAAAGCTATTGCTCCTTAAAGTTTTATAGACTCCGTTCATCTTTCTTCGATGTAAGTACAGGGGTAGGAGTGAATGACGTCTCTCACTTCAAACACGTTTACTTCAAGTATTGCGGTATACCAAAATACGGAAGAAACTACTTTTTGAAGACATTCGCCATCAGGATTACCTCCATAGAATGCCAATCGAGAAAAACAGGAAAAGGTTTGTGCCAAACTTGTTTATTATTTGAATTTATGTGTATATATCATTGATTCATGTTTAAAATCTTATAAAATCATTAAAAAAACATTTTATTCTGATATTTAGTGCCCCCATGTTTGAACACCGCGTTATGGAAAAAGAGTTCCAATACCTGCAATTACCTGAAAAATGGAACAAACAACATCTGGTACACAGTTGGTTTGGGTTACCATTCTTCACTGAGATGGTGCGATGCATTTCGGAACTGTTATGGGTCTAACGATCTCAGAAATCGATGCCGTCGGGATTTTGACTTCTACTTTCGACTTCCACCAACTTTTACAGTAGAAATACTCAGTTATTTACCTCACACACGGATCCAGGTCAATTACGTTTGTAGCGGTCGTTACACCTTTGCTGTTAATGTGATTCGGTGCAACTCTGAATCAAAACTAAATGGTATGTTTGGAATCAATGTCAGTATCTAAGCAAATGTGCACCTACTCCACCTCTAACCCAACTTTAATCCTAACTTGTTATCAGTTGACTGTTTTGGGTAATGGGAGGGGTAGGTGCGCAGTCGCTGAGACATTGACATAGATCATATTTCCCCAGTATATCGTAGCCATATTGCTCATGTTTTAAAAAAATAGTCACGCATCTCTGCTGTGATTTTGTGTTTGTGATATATGTAAAACATGCGTGCAAACTGAAGGAGATTGCAAAACATCAGCATTAGGGGAGGTGAGGTGTCTGAGAATAGAAATACTTTAGCGGGTGGATTGAAAATGTTTTCATCTTCAGACAGAGTTCCTTAAACATCTGATTAAGGACAATGTAACAAATGACACAGTGACAGGGTGACGTATAGATTCCTCTTTGGTCGTCCAATGGAAGTAATTGCATTTATCGCCTACCTAGATACTTGATTTGTTTGTTTGTTTGTTTTTGTTTTTTTAGACAGTTTAGTAGTAACGAATGATAACGATGATGATGATGATGATGATGACAATGCTGAAGCTCCACAGACCTTGAACTCTCAGGTACGTGCTTCAATTAATTGATGAAATCGATGACCTCAAAGTATGTATAAGCAATATCGCGCGCCAATATAGTTAAAAAAATTCTGATGTAAAACAACTTGGCCAGGCAAGAAGCGGAGTAAGTTATGCAGAAAAGTAAGGCATGCCTCTGGTTTTTATAAATACTGATACTTGGCTTCCGGAAATTTATTACTTATCAGGTACTGAACGCCATTGGCCTCCTTGACATTGAAAGAGAGGGATCCATGCAGGTATTATGCATATTTCTTTTTTGGGGATATTTTCCTTCAAGAAATTGTTCTCCAATAAGTTTCCTAAAACTTTTTGAGGTATTAGCTCACCATGTTAGAGTTTTCAAAAGAATCGAAACGTATGCAACTCTAAATATTCGGTACTAATATAAGTTTCGTTGATATAAATTAACGCCGTGCTTTAGAAACTGATGACCTACTTTCTCGTGTTGTTCCAACGATTTCGTTGACTTATTTTCTGAATCAATCCTTTTTAGAGCGCTTTGGATGCGTTTGAGGAGGCACTCTCCAGATTTTCTAATGGAACGTTTGGGAATCAAACAGAGGAGGAAAAAATGGAGGAGGTTTTTCAAGCAACATACGCTTTTGAACAATTTGTGTTGGAATACGCTCAGTATCACCTCAATAAAACAACACCAAACCTTAGCATTAACAGCCAAGAAATCGGTAAGGGAAAAAAAAAACAAAAATGATTTATTACCTGTAGTGTCGTAGTGTCGACTTTCACGTCGTGATCGTTTTGTAGGAAAAAAACCCCTAAATTTTTGTGTCCAAAAAAAAATCAAAATTAAAAAAAAATGAAATAAATTATATTGATAATATTTTTATCACTACAGAATACGATGAACGGCGTGAGGGGCCAATCTGGATAAGTTAATAAAAAGAAAAAGGGCATTTTAGCCTGTACCATTTGTTTTGTTTTGTTTTTTGTTTCATTTTGTTTTTAATGTGAGTTCATTAAAACTTTCTTATCAAAAGAGACGACTTTGCCGTTAAGGAACATTTTTTTTTTCCAGGCCGAGGTAAGACCTGCCCACCCAGGTCATCTTCTACTTTGAAGTCAAAGTGCAAAAAGGCTCCAAAGAACCAAACTTGTCTTTTTATCAGTGTTAGGGTCATTAAGTATTGGATTTAGTTGACTAGTGTAATTTTTCTCTTTGTTCGTATTCCCACCGAGTGATGTTTCGTTGTGTGTCTAGATTTGGAAATCAGACGTGTTTACCATCAAAATGAGAGTGATTTTGATCTCCAGGCACCTGAAGGAAAAAACTTTGTTAAAATTCCATCGGGAAACTTTCAGAACGGTTGGTAAAGGACTCTTCTATCAAATACGTTCTATACTAAGTCCATCCATTAAGGCGTATTCAATATGACCTGCATTCAACATTTATCATATCTAACAGGAGTTCCTGAAACATTTTCTTTACAGCATTCATCTTCCAGCACCTTATATTACCGTTGTTTTTCATTTTCAGGTTCAGAATTAGTTATGGGAGTTTTATACAAAAGTCTTTATAAAATGCTTTTAATTGATGATATTTACACTAAAGAGGCGACTAACAAAAGCAGGTTTGTGTGTGTGTGTGTTTTTTCCTTGTTTTTCTGTATGTTTTTTTGGTCCCTTTATGTTTTCCATGCTTCTAGTCCTCCCTATACTTTAAAAGAGGAAATGAATGATGAATCAACTAAGAAATATTTCCAAAAAAAAAAAACAACAACAACAACAACAACAGAATAAAACAAAGAGAAAACTGACTAGTTCCATGACACCGCAATATACGATTCATCTTTACATGTATTATTTTCTCTTTTGACCTTGGATGATCCTCTTGAAAGTTCTATCGCAAATTCAGATTTTGCGACTAACTTGCTCCATCGACTTCCACCGTAGACATCTCAACACGATCGTAATGTCTGCTACAATTATTCCACCTCCCACGAGGCTGACGCATAATGTTACGTTAATGTTCAGGAATTTTCAGGCAAGTGCAGGAAATAATACATCTTGTTGAAGCTCCTCACATCACCTTAGAATAGGACTATTGGATCAGTACGACACTAATACTGAACAAACGAGTTTTAGGGAAATAAATTAAGTGAGCCCTTTCTGGTATCGGTATCTGCAACTGGACCAGATATTTCGATTACCATTTTTTTTCTTCAGAACGTAAACGAGTATGTGTCTGGGCGAGAATATGAGAATTAATACGCACAATAATCATTAGCCAAGCAGACAGCATAGTTAAACACAGAAAGGGAAAGAGCCCTTTCAAAAGTTGAGTTGAATCTTCTCCACCCTCTTCCCCATCTTAATTGGGTTTCGATTTCCTTTGAGAGACTCAGCTTGTTAGGATCATACAATTTTGTTAACTACAGGCCGCAAACAGGAAAAGAGACTGCGTGTTTTGGAACACACCAGACAGCAGGTGAGAGAATACAGTTATTTCCTTTGTTAATTACTGCAGCAACAAGAGGTTATTTCTTTCACTCAAATGAGCCAAATAATACAAATGTATGAAATTCGTAGCTGATATTCTTAGTGATTGCAATGATTAAGTAGCGATGTGCTTTAAGTTGTCTACTTGCTCTGCATTTGGTTTTGGCACAATGTAGGCTGCGATTTTAGCCTGCAGTAGGCCTCCCTCTCTCTCCCTTGAAAACTTAGTTATTCAAAAACATCGCGATCGCATCCATTTATAAGTTTGATTTTTTGATAAATTTAATCATTCCCCTCTTTTAGCAGCCTTTTGAAATCATGCTTTTTCCTGCAGCTCGGTAGGCTGGTCAGGACAAGGTTGTTCTGTAAAATATATGGACGAATCTCAAACGGAATGCAGCTGCAATCATTTGACCCATTTTGCTGTCCTGATGCAGTTTGGCACGGAACCTTACAATGAAGACTTATCTGAGGTGGGCTAGGTCATGGGTATCATAATTTATAAAAAAAACAAAAATTAAATGCATTTAAAAACTTTAGAAGGGCCTTATCTGACTTTGTTTATACTAAAAGCATATGTACCTAGTTTTGTGCTATCTTACATATTTTACACAGACCGACAACAAAATTCTGGAGATTCTTACCTACATGGGTTTGACATTATCTCTGATTGGAATTACCATGACAATTCTCGGCTACGTTTTTCTCACGTAAGTACTTTACAAGGAAGTTATTTAACATTGAAAGGCACACATTATTCAATATCATGCACTGACACTACTGCTTAAGAGTGTTTATTCTTTCGAAGACAATTTTAATCCTCACAGACACTTCTGTTCCTCTTGTCAATCCTTTGAATTCTTTGCCCTAGGGAGATGAGAGGTCCTTTGTCTCAGATCCGTGTTAGTCTGGTTGCTTCGCTTGGCGCAGCTCAAATCATATTTCTTGGTGGGATTGGTGCGACTGAGAACAAAGTAAGGAACACTAAACCAGGTTACTGTGAGTTTCTTCAGACTTTTCTGTCTTTTCTCATTTGCATATGAGGCAATGCCCGAAGTTTTCGATTAAACCACGATTTTGCCAGAAAAATATATTTATTCTACACGCCTTAGCGTAACTAAAGGCAAAATGATTAGCCATGGTATATGGAGGCTGGGCTTTACTTCTTTGCCCACGAATGGTTTTACTTAACCGCAGCAACAGATAGCTGAATTGTTCCTTCTTTCCAGAAAGTATGTGTAATAGTAGCAGCCCTTGAGCAGTTCTTTTTAACAGCCGCTTTCTGTTGGATGTTCATCGAGGGAGTTTACCTTTACTTGTTTGTTGTAAAAGTCTACAACGTTACAAACAAGATGAAGATATGCCACGGAGCTACATGGGGTAAGACCATATTTCAGTTCTTTTACTTGTGTGCAAGTAAATGGATTAAAAGAGGTTAAACTAAAAGCTGATGTGAACGCGTAAAACCTAAGAAATGACTGGCTCCTTCCCGGCTCTAGCGGCATAAAAGAATAGGAACATTAAATCTCATCCTGCAATGCATGTGGAAGTTAGTTCACTGCTGGAAAATCTGAAAAAAATCCTAATTTTGGTGCGCTTAAGTGTAATTAAACTTAATGAACTGTCTTACCCAACAGCACACCCGGCAATGACTCTTCTGGAAGTCAACCTCAAACCTCTTGCACCATTAGGACACCCCTACTCAACTCCTTGGTGCACTTTAAATTCCGTTTTCAAACATATTTTCTTGCAAGCCAGGAGTGAATGTTTTTGGCTTTTCTGTCACAGGTTTTTCTGCACTTGTGGTCACCTTATCCTTGAGCATCACGGCAGGCATAGCGGGAATCGAGAGTTTTGTCAGCGAGAAATAGTAAGTAAAACATGTACCTTTCAGTAATGAAAGTAATAATAATGTTTCTTTTGTTCGTAAAAGATGTTTAAGCAACACTTCGAAAAATGTAATGATGTATTTAATATATTATTTGTCAATATTGCCGTTAAATTATTTTTTATTATTTTGGTTTGTTTTTTTTTGTCTGTTAAGCTGCTGGCTTTCTAACGAAAATGGTCTGATCTGGATATTCCTTGCCTTTGTCTTGCTTATTGGATTGGTGAGTCGACAGTATCGTAGCCCCACTTATATTTCTCACTAACGTGATTTTGAACATCTATTGATTATAATATATGCAACTGTCAAGACAACTTTTTTAATGGTGGCAGCGATGAAAACGGCATCGACGACAAGGGACAAATTAGAAGGAATTAGGGAAAGAACTGAAAAAACAATGAGTGAGCTATTCTCGGCTTTAATTTATCATTACATCAGTAGCACCTTGGTCTAATCACTACTTTTTATACTTTTAGCTTAACATTGTGATCCTTGTACGAGTTATCAGGGAGATGACGACGATGCAGCAAACCAAGGACAATCAAACTGAACAAATCAGGTAGAGAACGAAATCTTTAACGTAAGGAATCCAAAAGAGAACAAATAAGTTCGGGCACAGTTTGATGCTACACTGGTTTGCAGATTTAATGAATGTAACCGAAGAAGTTACAATTCATAGACCCAACGTTTCGACACTCCTGTCTAGTGCCTTCATCAGGGGTGATCTAAACGATGCAACAAGAGGTCCTTTTATATGATCACTAATTAGCGGCCTTTTTCTGACGAGGTGTAAATAAGCGTCAGGAAGCAGACCGCCATCGTCACGATTTAAAGGAGCGTGGGCGGAGTTAATGTGCCAAGCCTCCAAACAAAGGCGCTGGTGGTAACGCCGGTTAGTGGTGATAATTTTAGAATTATCCCACCCAATTGTATGGTTGGTTAGGCAAGTATGCTCCGATAAAGCTGAATTTTCCTTTTTGCAAAGAAAAACCGCTTTTTGGTGCTGTTTTAACCGTTTAACCTTTTCAGACTTTGGGGCATATTTTCGCCAAACCTAAGGATCCTGTCACAAAAGAACAACAAACCGACGCCATTTATTCTATTCCTTGCAATGACTGTGAAAACGAATACATCGGACAGACCAAACGCCAGTTTGGTACACGGTTAAAAGAGCACCAAAAAGCGGTTTTTCTTTTCTTTTCTTTGTTGCATCGTTTAGATCACCCCTGATGAAGGCACTAGACAGGAGTGTCGAAACGTTGGGTCTATGAATTGTAACTTCTTCGGTTACATTCATTAAATCTGCAAACCAGTGTAGCATCAAACTATGCCTGATTGTCCACCTGGTTGCCGTGTGAACTTTAATATATTTTAACCAAGAGTTCATTGGTAGTTCCTTGCACACACACCCACATGCACAAAAACCAAACAAACAAACAAATATACGACAATGACGATGATAACAATAATCTGATTCTTCGATGATTTGATGTCTTAAAGAGAAAGAAAAACATTCCTTTGTAGGCTTGGCATCAGAGCATGCGTGGTAATGATTCCTCTCTTGGGTGTCACGTGGCTGTTTGGCGTTTTACTGCCATTACACAAAGCTTTTGCCTATATTCTCACGATTTTCAACT